TTGTAATGTATAAGAGTAGTTTTACTGTTACGCTTAATGAACATTTTAATAATTCTTCTTATATTTCATAAAGTAAAGGTCATCTCTTATTTTTGACAACTGTTCAATTGCATATAATTATGAAGAAATATGATATACCAGGTGGTGCAAAAGCTATGACATAAATTTTTACATATTGACTGATACACATTGATCAAGATGAACAAAATCTTTTCTTCGCAAACATAAACATTCAGTTTTTAAAAAAAAAATGTTTATTTTTTCATCTTGACCAACTTTTATAAATCAAAGTACATAACTTTGTTAAAATTTATGTGATAACCCTTGGATCACACGATGTATTGTGTCTGTATAATTTACCAAGGCCAAAAATTTGCGCGACGCGTATTATTTTTTATGTCAATGAAAAATCGCTTACACTACCACTCCCTTTTTTATGTAAAAAGTTAAAATTAGTCTATGTCACTAGTTTATCAGTGTTTTAGTTCAACTTTGAATAGCCAGATAACTGTAGAATTTATAAATGTGTTAATATAATGTTAGTGTTGAACACTTACCACTATTTCAGTTAGAGTTGGTTTTAAAATGTAAATTTTACTTTATTAAATAAAATATGAAGGAAAAATATTCTTATTATTTTCCTTTTTATTATACTAACATATTAAGGACAAAATTAAGAAGAACCCATTTTTTAATGAAATGATATATGAGCTAACTCTGAGCGTTTGGCAGATGTGGTGTAATCATCCACCTGCTGTCTATATTCCATCTAGGTGGGGTCGGCACAACATGTAAACCATATTGTTAGTGTTTCATAATTTGTTACAAAGGGTTCGTTTAATAAATGAGACAAATAGTTTCATTTTTGCTGTAAGTCGCTTACCTAGTAAAATCCAAATCAACAGCTGATCGAACCCGGTAAAAATTATATGCGCGGCCGCTGATCAAATGATCAGTTGATGCTACTGTAGTTGCTGAGTTGGAATATCACTACATAGTATAAAAAAGTCGTCTCGCTGTCTGTTCCTTCGCATGCTCAGATCTTTAAAACCACGCAACGGATCTTGATGCGTTTTTTTTACTAGATAGTAATTCAACATTAAGGTTTATATGTATAATACATTGTACCCGTTTGACCATAAATAACTATTATAGGCCTGTCGATGGGCGTAAGTCTTCTACAGGTGTCGGGGTGGCTGGCATGGGTTGTGTGCTAACTTAAGCTTCCATGTCAAAAAAAGTAAATATCCAAAGTTGCTTTTAGTCATACGGAGATAATTAAAATACTTTTTGCCATCCAAATATATAATTTTTATAACTGGATGCCGTTGCCAAACACTTCTTTTTTGCAAAAAATATAATAAATGCAATTTGTTATTATAGTCTGCCATCACTCTTGCTATCGTAAGGCGTCTTCTCTTTCATTCTGCTACCCCTATCCCACTATATGGGGTCGGCAAAATATGACCTTTCCAGTAACTTTCCTTTATTAGCCGTCATCTCACGGATTTCACGGACATCATTCTTCACTCAGCCCATCCAATTTTTTATTGATATTTCTTTAGTCTAGAACCCACCAACCATGTTCATACTCTCTCAACACTTTTCTAGTCACATGAGTTTGTATATACATACATAAAAAATGTACCTATATTAAGCATTATTGTAATAGTCTGTCCTAATCACGGACTCCATTTCCCTGCCCCTTTCTTGACCGGTCTTTTTTGCTGCCAAACAATGATCCATAAATCATGACAGGCCTCACAACCCTTGTACAAAAGTTTCCCTTGACTTTTAGGAACGGATGTAATGGCTAATTAAGTAACTAATTGAGCATTTTTGGCCATTTCATCCAGCCTGCACTTTTCATTTTTCTAAGGTCTCGTTCAATGCCGCTGTTGTGGAGTAGACTAGAAGGATTACATAATCTAAACTATATGAGAAAAACTGGATGTGCAACTGAACTTGCAAAACAGGTGTTGTGTATTAGCTGGAATAATCTTTAGACCGACGCTTTCCAGTTTACTTTGGACCCTATCGGCTCCAAGAAGAAAAATGTCGTCGGCAGATAGAATCAGTCAGTGCATCCATAGTCACAAGGAAGAAGGACTTAAAATCGATCCCTGACGCAAGCCAATCACAACTTTGAACTTGTTGGTAACGCGAGTTTCGGACTTGTGAACAAGCTGGGCAGTACATGACGCAGACAATCCGCGGATGCTTCCCAGGCACTATATTTCTTTCAAAATTCACCAAAGAAACTACCGATCCACCCGGTCATATGTTTTCTCAAAATCAACAAACACTTATTCTCGCACGTTTGAATTCACGTACGAAAACCAAATCGGCTATGTACTTTAATTCATCATTTAAATACTTCCATTTTTCAATAGGCATATATGCAATTCATCCCTGCGCCCTTTCCATACTTCAAGACTTTTCCTGTCGGTTTAGATACTATTCTTAAAAATTCGGCGTAAGAATAGTATCTGAACCACCACAGTTTAAAATTGTCTATACGTACACAGTCTACACGTACACATGATGATAACAAACATACACATGACTCAGCGCTCTCGATTGCAAGGTCCCCGATTCACAGCCTACACACGATACCCTCATGTGCATGTGCCTGGCCGCTTCTTTATCACTAACGTCGTGTTGTCAAGTTTCAATATGTTCGTTTCATCATAACATAGTTAATTTTAAACGAATCTTTTTATTTCCAAAAATTTATTGTTTTCGCGAATTGATTACTATCATCATATCGTGATTTTTTTGTTCTTGTCATTTTTTTTTTTATTAATTAATTGTTTTTGTCTGATGGGGCAATTGGATCGTGTTCTCATTGTTAGTCGAATTATCCATCTTTCCTTTAAAAGTGTTGGAGTGGTGCACCGGAGTGGTATCATCGGGTCATCGTTATGCGTTTATGCATCAGTGTGTCTCCCGAACCTGCTGGTCATTCAAAATTCGTAAATTAGAATTTGATAGTCTAAAATAAATATCGAATCGAATACAGATATATCGCAATAAAAACTATCGACGATATATATCGATAATTGTATATAAAAATATCGATATGCCCATGCCTAGTTTTGGACTTTAAAAATATTTTGAGTTTGACTTGACTTGTGTTGTCTTACTACGTTGCAAAAATCGTTTAGTAAAAAGGATAATTATTTTGCTTCATGTAATTTGAAATCTCTGATGTTTCACGTAAAAAGTTAATTTATTATAAAGAGTTATGACTACGAGTTTATATTTTTGCCCCATTTTGTTATTTTATAGTTATGGTGCACTTATTTGTAATAAACAATGAATCTGTTCCAAAAACTTAGCTAAAATATAAAATTTGGGATATGCCAGGTTATTTTCATATCGATAAAGCAGTAAAAAATGTCAAAGCTATTGCAGACAACAATCGTTGCATTACTTGGTAATATATAACTACTAAAAATTCGATTTATTAAAGTTTTGATTTGATTCTTATTTCACATATCATTTATAGTGACAAACTTCTTGGTCTACGCTTAAGGTATTCTTGTGGACACACATTTTGTGGTGAATGCATTGAAGCATCTGATGAATGTTTAATTTGCTTTAATTCTTCAAATACTTCGGAACCTGTAATTGATTTAGTCCAAGTTCAACATGCACAAAACGCCTTTAACCTTTTGACTGTATTTCAAGAAACATTTAATATTGATGGTAATGTATTTTATTATATGCTTACGTGATATCACTGAAATCAAATTAATTTCTTTTAACAATGATTATAAATATTTCAGTTTATAAAAGATATAGACTTTCAGAAAAATTGAAAGAGGAAAAGGAGTTTTTCCCAGAATGTGTCCAAGCCTCCATTACATACTATAATAAAAGAAAAAGTTCTCTAAAACTCAGTTAAAGAAAACAAAGAGAACTTAACACCATTATTCATTGCTGGTGAACAAACAAGTAATTTGCAATCCATGAAAATGAATACTAGGGTTAGCCTTGTACAAAAGTGGCTTGAAAAAAATGAAAACATTCAGCGTCCAGTAAGAAAGCCTTTTACGGATATAAATGTAAATACCTCTTATACAAGCAAAGAAAATACTGCCTTAAAACAGGTAAGGCATGTAAGTCGAAAAAGAAATTCAAAAATTAACTCCAATAAAAGTCTGAATTCAAAAAAGAATGTTACAAGCGCCAAGCAAAAAAAATCTTCAAACAATTGTTTAACCTCAATGTTAAGGCAATATGATGCTGACAAAAGTCTTAAAGAAAATAAGCAAGAGAGAGAGAGTCAGCTAAAATTTGAAAACATATTGAATGAAAAAGTGTTACATCAATTTAGTAATTCTAATACGGATAAAGAGAGTACCATTGAAAATCTTGATACCATTGTTATTGAAGATACTCCAGCACCAGAAATTGATAAAGATAATGATGCCTGGGTAGCTGTTCTCCAATCAGAAAAGAAGAACTTAAATAACAAAAAAACTCATAGCACAGATGAGAATCTTGATTTCAGAACACAAATTAATGAAATTGTATCTGCCGACTCTTTGAGCATAAAAAAAAATGTTTCATTTTATAAAAAAGCAGTCTTATACAAATCTTGTCAGTTATGTTTTAGTTATTGCAAAAATGATAAACCAGAATATAAGAGGCTTAATTCAAGGGAAGTGTCTATTACAATCAACACAAACAGTATTATGACTTCTATTAAAATTAGTAATGATGAGCATTGCACGAAAATTAAAAATTCAATTTCTACTCAAACAGATGTTATCAATGAAGAAATGAATAAAAACTCATCTACTATAATTCCAACTGCTTATAAACAAAATGATATTTTAAGTCAAGACTTATTTGTGAATGATACAATTCTTTTTGAAGAAAATAAACATTACCACCAAACCATTGAAGATAAAAATCTTAGAGACATTGAAAAAAACAAAATTTGTGACTTGTCCTGTCCTGTAGTAAGTGATTCCGATAGTGATGCCGATATGCACTGTAGTGGCACACTTGAAGTTATAGCTGAAGTTCATACACCCAGCGAAAAGTAAGTTTTTTTTAAAATATTAATTAAGCAGTAGTTATGGATTTGTACTTTTTCATAAAAACGTTGGTCCGAATCTGACGGAGAGGCATTTCGGGTTCCGCAAGGGTCGGTCAACTATCCACGTTGTGTTGCATGTTAGGTCTCTGCCGCTGGAAGCAGTTTCTCAGGGCGTGTTCATCTTTAACACTGCCCTGGGCTTGAATTAGGGAGGCGCTTCGGTTCCATGGAGTGTACTGCATGGGATCCCCCTACCTGCGCCGTATCATCAAGGCCTACTTGTCGCATCGTCGTGTTAAGTTTCCGCGCCAAGACTGGCATCGAACCATCGAGGTGGCGTGCGGTGTTCCACAGAGGTCGGCCACTCCTGTAGAACATAGGCTATGATTGGGTGCTACGTGGCGCCTATCTCAGGGGTGTCGAGGTGCTTTGTTACGCCGATGGCACCCTTGTGACTGCCCGTGGCACAGACTTTCGCTGGGCCGCTATTCTCGCCACTGCGGGAGTGGCGCAGATTGTGGAACGCATACGGCGACTAGGGTTTGAGGTGGCGCTTAATAAATCCTACGCTCTATATTTTTATGGACCTTGGAACGCGCCACCTGCGGACGTTCACATTATTGTGTGTGGGATCCGTGTCGACGTAACACCTACGATGAGGTACCTCGGCCTAGTTCTAGATCGCCGATGGGATTTCCGGGCCCACTTCGAGCGTCTAGCTCCCAAAGTGGCGAAAGCAACGACAGCTCTGGGTAGGCTGCTCCCGAACGTTTGCGGCTCCAACGAGTCCTGCCCTCGCCTATATACCGGAGTCGTGCGGTCCATGGCCCTGTACCGATTTCCCGTTTAGGCTCACACCCTGAAGCGCCGGACCCGAGCGCTTTTGCACAAACCGCAGAAGATGTTGGCTATTCGGGCCATACGGGGCTGCCGGACGATCTCCGGTGAGGCGGCCTGCCTGTTGACCGTATCTCCGTGCCTTGGGATTTGGAAGCTAAAATCTCCGCATCATTGCACTCCTAGCGTGAGGCTGCTAAAGCCCAGGGTCATATGCCGACCCCGAAGGCGCTGCCTGCGCTCGAACGCCATCGGGAAGTGGGAGCAGAAGCTGGAGCACCCCAGCGATGGCCTAAGAACCGTAGAGGCCATACGTCCAGTCCTCAAGAGGTGGCTGGACAGGCGACACGGCACCCTCACCTACCATGCGCCGCAGATACTCTCGGGACATGGTTGTTTCGGGCGGTACCTGTTTGGCATGGCGAGGAGGGAGCCCACAGCAGAATGCCACCACTGTGACGTATGTGTCGAGGATACGACCCAACACGCACTAGAGGAGTGCTCAGCCTGGTCGGAGCAGCGCCGAGAGCTGTGTGTTATCCTGGGGCATGATTTCTCCTTACCTGTCGTGGTTCACGCTATGGTTGACAGCGAGAGGTCGTGTGGTGCTGTACTCGCATATTGCGAGGACGTAATCACCCGGAAGGAGGCAACGGAGAGACGAAGGGGGCAACTGATAACCTGTATATCCGCCGCCGGAGACCAGGGCGCAGGAAGCTGGCCTACACGCTCAATCTTCCCGCCGAATAACGAGACTCGTAAGTGGCAGGCATGGGGGCGTCTGCTGCTGCACATGGGATTCATGAGAGGTGCTGTGCTAGTTGCACCGGCACAGCACCATTTAGCCGGAATGGCTGGTCTAGCACCCGTAAAGAAGAGGCCTAAGAATTCCGGGGTTTTGATAAGACTTGTAACTTTAAAAAAACATTCAATACTGAGAAGGAAAACTGAAAAAAGGTATTTGTTAAAATCTTGTTATAGGTTAACATTCCCAAGTAATATTACTTACTAAATATGGTAACTGTGGAAGGACCATGTTACAGTGTTCACTGTTGCACGAATGGGCAAGTCCGTCCGGGTAAGTACCACGACCTCACAGAAGATCGGCGCAAAGTACAAGTATTACAGTTTTGCGTTTAGTCTGGTGAGTGAGGTAGCCGGAGCCCACTTTATTCATGGGCTGCGGATATGACTTAACTATAGGTGAACCGCCAGCTCGTTTGCCACGTTCTCTCTTAAAATAATATTGATCATATTTATATAGTACATATGCTCTAAATATGGTTGAGTAAAGTAGAGAACAATTAAGAAATTCAAAGAACAATTTTAATTGTTCAAGATCAAGATGCAAACAGGTGTTATTTTCTGTTTTAAGATGTTATACAAATATTGCGACATCATTATGGTGTCCTAGAAGTAACTATAATTAATTATAATTAAGTAATTAAACCGGACAAGTGCGAGTCGGACTCGCTCGCGATAGCTTCGATACCATTATCTATAAAAACGGCAAAAATTCTTGTCTGTTGTATGGTAGCCCCACTTACATATTTTTTATTGTTTTTTAGAATTTGTTGTTATAGTGGCAACAGAAATACATCATCTATGAAAATTTCAACTGTCGAACTATCACGGTTTATGAGATACAGCCTGGTGCTAAATGCACAGACTGGCAGATTGCGAAGTCTTAGTAATAGGGTGCCGTTTTTGCTTTGGGTACGGAATGCTAAAAACTATATATGATCCATCTATTGTGATAGTGTTCAATTAATAAACCATACTACATATTAATAGTATACATATTCTAAGGCAGTATTTTACGTAAATGAGATTTTTCTGTTTTTATTTTAGGAAATATGGTGTCCTAACTACAGTAAAAAATGATTCCCTAAGGGTAAAAGTAGGCCGTCGTCGAACTGTTGACAGTAACAATTCATCAGAAAAAGAAAATATAGAGCCAAACAAAATGAAAAGACCAAGGTTTGGAAAGAAACAAGTAATGAAAAAATAATTGTTTTATATCATTATATAAACCTCTTAAATTTACCATTGCTTCATATTGAGAAACAATTTCAAAAGACATTTGATGAGCAATATTAAGATATTGATTCAAAGTTTTTGATAATCTTGCATAAATGTATTCTCTATATGGTTATATGTTCTACTGTATGTATTTTTATAGTTATGTTTATAATGTTTAAACGGATAAGGAAAATTACATTTCTCAGCATGTCAATTTAATACTGCATTACATTCATAATTATATTTATACTTTAAAATTTTATAGGACAAAATGTAAGGGCCAACTTTTTTGTGCCAAAAGTCAAGCAATCTGCTGTTGTCCTATTAAAAGCATATTTAAAATAAAAAAACACTTCTTTCGCTTTGTATTCTTATGTTCCCGATTTATTTTAATCAAGTATCATTGAACCAATTGCATTGTGTATGAGTTCTATATCTTAAGAGATGCAGAAGGCCAAGAGAATACAACTCATATGCTTATTTTTTTCTCTACCGTAAAATTAAGCCCAACTTACATTGGTCAATGGCGAGCACGGGACAAGTGGCTGTTAACACTACAGTCTAGTGGCATTTCTCTGTCGAAATGGACGATCATCGTCAAAAAATACGTGCAATTTTGTTTGACTGTTTACACTATGGCAAGTGACGGGGAGTTAGCGGACGTGCGTTGCAAGACAAGTTGACTTGATATTTGATACTGCTGTCCCGTGGTTTACACCACTGTACTTATCAATTTCACTTAACACTTGACCAGTGTAAATTGCGCTTTATGCTTTTGGTAAGTTGTAGATAAAAATTACATTTTGTAAGTTTTATAGTTAAAATTAGAAAAAGAGTTACGTTGTTTGGTTATGATTATACACAGTGATTTTTAGACGAAGTACATACTTTGACATAATGTTAATTGAGCATTCCATAATGCAAAAATATATTATCTTATTTTGACAAGAAATGAACAGAAAAATATCAATTCAAACATTGTTTATTCCGTTAAGACTGGTCACCCTATTGATAAGTGGTTTAGTAAGTAGGCGTTCAGCGATAAGTTTTAGTGCTCGTCAATAGGTTATTGTATTGAGACGGTAAAGCAGGAATTTCTAAAGGTGTCCATAATGTTTGAAAATAAAAAAATAATCTTTCAAAAGAAAAAAAAAATGAGGTTACAAGTACGTACCAGATTCTGATTTAGAATTAAATTCTGCATATGCTCTGTTAATATGTCCGTCGTCTATAAAATCACCCTGTATATGAGATAAATGTTTTCTATTTTACTTTTAATTAAATGCATTATTACATTTAGCAATTTAAAGAGGCATCAAAATAAACCAAAAAGCATGGACATCATGTTTTATTATTTATTGATACATTTTCAGTTAAATAAAAAAGTTCTTGTTACTATATTTTTTGTATAATTTAAACCCTTGTATTTTTATTATTTTTAAATGATGAATTGTTGAAAAATTTCGGCGCTGCCAAAAAGTTTGTAAACGGTTTGTGGGTTGGTTAGTTTACCATTTTGATTACCAAATAAAATTAATTATATAACAAATCAAATAAGACATAATTATCTTTTATGGTGAAATGTTGCTGGTTAATTTTAGTTAGTGATACTTCGGTTGTAGTTCGCACAGTCTGAAAACAAAACATCAAACATTATTTAAATTTTTTATTGGTGTACCTTATCGTCCAGATGCTACCTCAGTTTATTTTATGCCGGCATGAGCGTCTAATCTTTGTTAACAAAAACTTGGGCCATAGTCAAAACAGCTGTTATAAAGGAAAATAGACGTATGTACACAAAGCGTTCGCGGTAGTGGTAGACCCACAGAACACTAACACTCACGAGAAGCACGACAACTCCATACATTTGAAATGCGTACACGGGGACAACTAGCGCTGCAGCTGATGCCCAGGAAACTAACCCATAGGGCGGGAATATTTTAATGATAAATTTACTCAATAGAACTTGGTCATTTATTTAACTTTAAGAACATACATGATACATATTTTAAAATTTATAACATTAATTCAAATTTCTACTGTCATAATAACTTTTTTCAATGTATAATTTATGAATTAAGCGGGTACGAATAAAACCAAATTTTCAACATTCCTAAATATTTTTATTATACAAAAAGTAGATTGTTTTAAATATTGCTCAATCAATGTTTCCCCCGATTTTGGACACAAAGAGATTAAGATACAAAGCCGATACAATTCCGCATTTAACACAACTCATACTTGCTTTCCCTGCAGTTATCAAAGCATACTTATTGTACAATTTAAGATTTAAATTAAAATAATAAAAGAATCGATATCGCAAAGGAGTGTCTGTCTCACAAATCACAATACTATATGCACAAAAACATAAAATCGTCCACTTCTAAATAGCCTCTTTATAATAAGTAGATCCAGCAAATTATTTCAAAACAAACTCATCAACGGACAAAATAAAACAAAACAATCGGCCATTTTTACTTTTTTAGTTATTGAGGGTGTTGCTTTATCAAAATTATAAATCCTACTATTGGTAAGAAAAATTGTTAAAAATCAATTTCACAGGCTTGGATCATAATGAAGTAGTTAGAAAATCAAGAGGCTTTAGTATTTTTTCATATATTTTAAAGTATACACAAATTGTTTGTAATTAGCTACATTCAATTTTATTTATAATTGGTAAAATCTACCTAAAAAGAACTTCCAGAATGGTAACGGTTGCATCTAACTTTCTCGCTCCCTTGTAGAGCATTATCTCTTTTTTACCGATTCTGCCCAGTGCTTGCATTTGTTTACTCTATAGCTGCCTTCCCCTGCTGCTCTCACGAGGGTAGACTTCAGTAGGTTGACGATGGCAACAGACGTAAATATAATAGGAAACAATCCACAGTTTTTTCACAATTACAAATATAGTTTTGAAGTAGGATATGGCAATATAGTTGCAAGGTATTGATGAAAAAGAAATTTGAGTACCTAACTGTTAAATAATTTTGGCTATAACTATAAGCAATCTAAGTACCTTCTGCAGGTCTCTGAGCCGTACAGTTGATTTAATATAACCATTTAATGAGTTACCAGCACCACTACAAATGAGCGTGTCCAACGGTTTCAGAACTACTTGGCTTGTTTTTTTTAAATAGGCAATTTGCGTTTGGTTAAAATGAAACAATTTAATGCTTTATATTAATAGGTAAAGTGGAGCATGAAAGAGTTCAAAGCTTTGAAAATATTTCTAATAAAAGTTATTGTTCTTCTGTTCTGTTCCGGATTGATGTGTGTAGTATATTGGTAGTATCGACTGATCATGCCAGGATTATAATTATCGATGTTACAACTCTCTCACGTTCACAAAATTACAAAATATATTTAGATATGTCCAAATGCACTCAAATATCGTGCGGTTGTCTCAACGGCCTGCATTTTGGATATAAACATGACTGGCTACTTTGGGCAGCCTGTGTATAAGGCATGGGTTTAAAAGAAAAGCGCAAACATTTGGGAGGTATTATATATTAGTCGAGTCTATACTGCGTAGAGGATCACCACCAGCCGGAAGAGCCGCCACCGGACCAGCCGCCGCCGCCGCCGCCGCTTTTCCAGCCGCCGCCGCCTCCGCCGCTCGACCAGCCGCTGCTCCCACCGCCTAGTTTCCAGCCGCCGCCTCCGCCGCCGCTCGGCCAGCCACTGCTCCCGCCGCCAAGCTTCCAGCCGCCCCCTCCTCCGCTCGACCAGCCACTGCTACCACCGCCGAGCTTCCAGCCACTGCTACCACCGCCGAGCTTCCAGCCGCCGCCGCCACCACCACTCGACCAACCTCCATGGCCACCACTATAGCCGCCACCACCGCCTAAATACAGAATAACGATATTGGGGTTAACTGAGTAAAGTATTTTAATTTTTTTTTTATGTGAGAAAGTGGTGAACGAGCTGGTGGATTCACCTAATGTTAAGTGATAACCATCGCACATGGACATTTGCAAAACCCGTAGGGTTGCAAATGCGTCGCCACATTTAACTAAAGTGGGCCCCGACTACCTCACTCGCCAGACGAAACACAGAATTGCAATACTTCTACTTTACGCTGGTCTTCTGTGAGGTCGTGGTACTTACCCGGACGGACCTGCCCAGTCGTGCAACAGTGACCACTATTGCGTGGCCCTGCCACGGTCAAAAGTAAAAGTAAAGTAACAGCCTATACATGTCCCACTGTTGGGCAAAGGCCTCCTCTATACAGAGGGTATCAGGGCATAGTCCACCACGCGGCCCCACTGCGGATTAGCGGACTTCACATATCTTCGAAATATTTTTTTTTGTTATTATTTCGAAAATATGCAGGTTTCCTCACGATGTTTTCCTTCACCGCGGAGCACGTGATAAGTCAGCACTTAAAGTTAAAAACTTCATTGGTGCCGGCACCGGGGCCACGGTCAACATTACATTAAATTACGTGAAAAGAACAAAAAAAAATTAAGTGAAAAGACATTATGCACTTGCATTCCAAGTTCATTATACTCTTACCCTTTTTTATTATAGTAAAATGTCACGAGCTTGTTGGATTCATATTATAGGGTTTATTTCAGAGGCATGAGGCATCGAATAGGTAAAATTTAATCTTATCATTAGGTGCATTCATTTCTGATTCATATTGTCTAAATAAATAAATTGATGAATAAATATGCAAACACATCCTTTGTTCGTATATTTCACAATCGCCTGTAAAGTCAACAAAGATATAGAAGTAAAAAAGATTGTCGACTATGCAGCGTATTCGAAGGCATTGCATAATGCGTAATAGTTCGTACTGATGAGTGAACGGATGACCCTAGAATGCCTCGATCTTTAACCTCTCTAATGTACATACCCACTCGATCCATGACCAGAATGGTTATTTCCGATAGGCATTTTATTTGTATAAAACGGAGATAAAGGAAAAATTAAAGTATATTGTAACCTATAGTTCTCTAAAAACGTCCGGAATACTTTTGACATTTCTATCAAATCAGTACGAAATATCAGAAAATATGATCTGGGACATAAACAACGAAAGTCACTTCCTGTATTACAACAAGATTAACTCTTGGACGAATGAAAGTAAGTAACAGATTGTTAGGCAAGATGTATATACAACGGTATTTATGTGCTATGTCTAGATGAACGAGCTTTGCACGAAGCTGTCGTAACGTTTCCGCCTTTAAAGTACTGTCTCCTTTATTTCACAAAATCTATTACCTAAACAGTGTCCGCGAATTCGCAATATGAAATAAAAAAATTAAAGTTCGAATGTTTATAACAACATAGTTTATAACAATTTACAAACAACATAGGAAGTATAGTTTTTGACGTCTCTGTTACAATTTATATTATTAAAATCTTTTGATACTTTGCGCTTGCAATTTTATAAAAATATTTCAAATGCTTACCGTAGCCACCACCGCCGCCGCCGCCGCCGGTAGTAATAATTTTGATGATCTTCACTTCTGTGGAATGAGAAAAACAATGTTATATTTAATTATAATTATAATTTTGACCACCCGACGCATTTTACGCAGTGGGTAGCGCCTGCCGCTTGAGCCAGAGGGTGTGGGTTCGATTCCCACTACTGGAAAATATTGTGTGATGAACATGGTATTCTTCCAGTGTCTGGGTGTTTATTTATTTATAATATGTATTTATTTACAAAAGAAAAGTATGTTTATCCGCAATCTAGTACCCATAGTATAAGCGTTGCTTAGTTTGGGACTAAAGCACGTTGTGTAAAAACGTGTTCAAAACATTTATTATTATTATTATTATTATTAATTCACTTAAATATCAATAGGATTAGTAAACGTTTTATTTTAAGTCCTTTTCGTCAATATTATAATGTTAATTTTCGATAATTTTTATATCATAATGTTGTTATGTAGAATCCGGTTATAGGTATACATATCTGGCAAAGCATGATGTTCTTTTCTTTTATTTATCTAAATGTATATAACAACAATAAAAAAAAAGGTTCACTGACAACTTGTCGTTCCCCACATTTAACTTTAAAGTCTACTAAGGTTCATTTTAAAGAGACTGAAGAGCACGGTACGACTATACAAAGTCATAGCACAACGAGTTTAATTAGATATCGCCAATCCTTGCCTAAACGAGCTTAGTTGCATAGTTGTTTAGGAAGGTTTCAGACTCCGAATCGTTCGAACCTCAAGTTGGTTTATTAAGGAAAGGAGCTATGTTTGCTTGTGTAAAAATGACATGATACTTCGTACAAATTAAAAGTGTTTATAGTATAGTATAAAGTGTATATAAATAGTATAAAGTACAAATAAAAAGTATAAGTGTATATAGTATATAGTAGTGTATTGGCAAAATCACTGACGTATCAGTGGAGCCATAGTAGGGAAAAAAAGTGTATATATCTGGATCTCAGATTATCTACCATACTATACGTAAGTATAAAACTTGTTATTTCGCAAATATTTCCTCGTGATGTTTTCCTTCACCGCATTAATTCAGCACTTAAAATTAACAAGTTCATCGGTGCCGGCACTGGGGATCGAACTCGGATTGTCCGAGTATATTGAAATAAAAGCGAGCGCCCGGACAATGAGCATCGCGGCTTTTAACTATAAAGCGATTTGGGAATAAACTTACGACCACCGCCGCCGTTGCCACCCGACCAGCCGCCGCCACCGCTGCCACCGCCGTAACCTCCTCCGCCGGACCAGCCGCCGCCGCCGCCGCCCGACCACCCACCACCACCGCCGCCGATGTACCCGGCCTTCGCGACTACGGCCAGCGCCAACAAGCAAACGAATACCTGCGACCAACAAACGACCGTTGCTGGGAAAGCAAAAACAGTTTATCGGACACTCCGATGAGCAACCGCAATTGAATTGTATCTGATTTAGGAGGTATATAGTCAACGATATTAGAATAAGAAGGTTAAATTGTAAATACAAGTGAATTTTCCTGATAAAATGTATTGGAGAAAAATGTGGTCCGAAAAGATGCCGTAAAGGGTTCGATTAATTATAGCACGATAACTGGAAGTTACCAGTGGATGTTGTGGAACCCTTGCGGAGACAATGCAAGTGATGTGGTAAATTATCATTACGTAATTAGAAATGAGTGTACTAATTGTTCACAACTGTATCTCGAGGAGGTCGTGCAATATTCAAGTCAAAGCGTATTTAATGAGCTATACCAAATTGTAATCGTATTCCTATGCTAATATATTAGTTGAACGGTACTGTTACCTTCATGGTGGAGCTGAGCGGTAACTGCTTGTGGATGGGTCGGCGGCTGCGCGTTATATACAGACACTGCATCTCCCACTCATTGCTGCTCGTATTTCGAGGGCCGTGAAGAGGCGAACGGAAGTTGTTCCGTGGCCGCCGTGATGCAACCCATTGTCCCTGCGCCCGCCGCGATTAGACCGCAGCTATAATTACGAAAATAGGATCTGAGGAGGCTTCGCTCGCAAGAGCCATCGCGGACTTTTTATGCCGCCGACCAAATTTTGTCAACCGCACAAAGAGCCCGGAGAAGTGATTGTTACATAACTGCATTTCAGAATGTTAAATGCTTATATGATGACTTGAAAGGTGAACTTTATAAAAAAGCTTATGGATTATGGATTTAATTTAGTTAGAGAGTGATTTTTATATAGCGTATCTATGTGTTTAAATAAGATAGACCGGTTTATTATTAGGTAATCATTGTTTATATATGTTCATATTTTATTAAAGATTTTTTAATTATCCTAAATATTGAATGGTATTCAAACATCACTTATTTTTAAGCGTGTAAAAGCTATGAACAAAAAAATCGGAAAGATAAAAATTTACCCATATATGGCAGTTTCTAAAACTTGCAGCCCTAATAATAAATATTGAAATGGGAAAAGGGAAAAAACTCTTTCTTAAAGTTTATAAAGTTATAAGTACTTCTTATGGCGCGTTTGGAAATAAATAAGACAGTAAAATTTTTACGATGCGCACGCACAACTACAATGACATGATGAACTTGGCAAATCGACCAGCTTCAAGCAATGGCAGCCATTAACAACTTTTGGACATTTAACTATAATTCCAAGTTATGCATTTAATGCCTTTTTTACGAAAGAGTAGGTACTGGCACAGGGTATAAAATTTTGTAGTTATTATTTTGTTATTCTAAAGAATACAATATGTATAAATTTTTCGTGCGTACATAAGTATACACACGTTTAATTTTTGTGATATACATATGTAGACTTTGCAGGTACATTATATTTCTCTTTTAGCTCAATCAGCACATCAATGCAGTGCTATATTCAAACCTTGTTCCAACGTTGCCTTGTAATTCATTTCGTCATATTATGAGGGAAGGACTCGTGACATCATCTGTTTTTAGCTAGTAACTAATTGGAAGTCCTAATCATCTTTATTGTACATTATTTAAACTGCACGCAAAATGTTAGTGTAAAAAATGATAACGCAATGTTTGGAATGAATAACATAACAATTATTGACATATAACATTTAAATTAGTGAAGAATTACGATTAAGAATGATTTATTTCCATAAAAACAGCGTGTCTGACGAAATTTTACAAGAAAAAAAATTATTTATAATTTTTATATGAGAAAAAAATAATCAGTTTTAATGTTAATGATATAAAAACAGATCTAATACACAAGATGACGTAAGGTGTATCTTCGCACATGTCATGAAACTCGACGAGTGTTTTAAACCCGGAGGTAGCTAAGAGTTATGCTTAACATAACATTAACAAATGAGTGACTAAGTTTAATCATAAAAAGTTACGTGAACGTCGAACGTGATGATTAATGACTTCCTTATTTTTCAGTTGCGGTTGACTGCGATCCTTAACTTTGTTTTCTCCAGATTTACTATCGGTGGGACTCCATTGAGCGCAATAAGGCTTGTCGAAAAATTAAAATTAATCCAAACGCGAGAGTATGAGGACTGCTTACAGGAAAAGCAGCTGCTTCGTAGATCAGACTACAATAATTAACTTCCGAGTTTAAGGCTCGGGTTAATAATCATGAAGACGTTCAACTACGCAATCCCTCCAGTGTCATTAAATTAGTGTCTGCCGTTGCAGTAACAAGTAAGTCCGCCGGGGGAGTATCACAGCCTCACAGAAGACTGACTTAAAGGACAAATGTTATACTTTTGCGTCCCGTCTGGTGAGTGAGATAAAAGGGAACCACTTTTTTAAATCTTGGCAAAGCATTTACAACGTCGAAGGTTTTCACCTCACTTCAGGTGAACCACCTGCTCGCTTTCCAAATATTCACTTAAAATAAATCGTGCAAAGTATTCTAGATGCTCCGATGGTTTCGATATTCGATAAAAACTCCATAGTACTTTTATTACGACCAGGGAATGAAATACGAAAAACGATAATGAAATATTACAATATCTACCTTTTTCTTTTGGCTCCGCCCAAGTTTTATGTACATTGCAAAGTAAAATAGCTCACTGAATCCTATGTATCTGGCCGATTAATTATCTCTGTGTTTTTGAATCTTTGTGTTTTAGTTAGTTTTAAATTAGTTATCCCGGGCTAGCGTCAGTAGGCTAGGGACATGAAACAACTGAGACTGACTAATGACCATAAACGCTGTAAGGTGTTCGAAACGTCGCGGGGAATATAATAAAGATAAAACGCGATAAAATTCGTTAAACGGTTTTATTTAAACATGCGTTGTATTAGTATAAACACAAGAAGTCAATATTTCAATTACATCCTTTGAGCGGTGGCGTCCTGAAGAGGCATCAAACGCACACGTACGAGTACCCCTACCTCAATAGTATATTAATACTAGTACCTTAGTAGTAGTATTAATATATATGATCGGTGTTGTTAATGCATGATTAATTTATTATTAATGTTTGTGCTTGTCTTAATGAAAAACTCACGGACGCATCTTATAACCCGAACTATTGTCAATACGAAATAATACTCTACTAATAGATGTATTAATATAAATAGCATAAAATATTCAGAATTCAAATGCCATTAATTAATTATAGCTCGTGGACAACGCGGAACTCGGTTACTTTTTTTGAAAATAGATGAAGCAATGTATCTACCTACATATCGGCAAAAAATTGTTTGAGGTTTATAATTATATATCACAAGTAATTTATGTTATGCTTGTACTTGATTCGTTACGTATAAGTGACATAGCGGTTATAGCGAATGACAAGAGGTTCATTTATAGAGAACGCAACATCTCTTACGTTAGTTACAAGTTCTCGGCTTTGCCCATCCACTACGGAAAGTATAGACGTATCGTGGAAGTATGTGAACTATCACATCAGTATCTGTCTCCTTTTCATCACAACTTTTTTTTTGCTTTTTGTTGGTTATCACATCATTGCACGATCTTTTAATAAAGATGATGCATGACCAGCGCAATGTTTTAAAACTGTTTGTTTTGCATTATTTACTTTCTCTTTTCATGATGAATGTTGATGATGATGGACAGAAAGTTCTTTTCTCACATATTTTTTTAAAATTTTTAAACTCCACTTTTTTAAATTTCCAAATTCATAATCAGTTGTAGATCATACAGATATTTCTTCCGCGAGTAATTGAGGCACAGAAATTGTGTCAAGGTCATCAAATAACAATGCATCAATAAAATGTTCCCTTCTAAAATATAAAATTTAATTTCAGTTTCTCATTAAATACTATTAAAATAAAACACTTATTTTATATAATTTTATATTTTGACGCTGTCCCTAAGGTATAAGCAAGTAAAGAGATATAAATTTAATGTAATAAGTAAAATAACATCCCCTGTAACTGAGACACTTAGCGGGATAAAATGACGAAAGAGAAGAGTATAATTTTAGGAAGTTAATTACCGTTAAAATCTCAAATAGCGTTTGAAAAAGCACACATAATACGAAGCAAGATTCAGCAGTTTAGTTGATAAACACTTCATTGGACTCAAATATTTATCTTATATATTAAAATGGATTGCTATTCGTTAGTCTCGCTAAAACTCGAGAACGGCTGGACAGATTTGGCTAATTTTGGTTTTGAAATATTTGTGGCAGTCCAGGGAAGGTTTAAACGATGAAACATTATAGAAAAATTGCATGGAAAATCGAAATAGCAACAATTTTATTTTCCCATACAAACTATCTACCTGTCAACTATATCTGTGTAACCTGTCAATCACTTTATGCGTGCGTTCCGATTCCTCTAGCAATAATTTATATGGAAAAACAACGTCTGCCGAGTCAGCTAGTATTGAATAAATATTGCATTGGTCTTTAGTTTTCATTGACGTTCCAAGGTAAGCAATTGTTTAAATGGATATTTATCTTTTTAACATTGTTTAACACATTTTTAAAAGATCTCCATAAGAAAGAGAATCCATAGTAACTAACTATTCCTTCAAATCCGTCGTGCATACCTTGTTAAACGCTTTTTACCAAGTTTTCGAATTGTTCGAATAGAGGCCTCCTTAAACTGAAAATTTACTAAAAGAATTTTACTAAACGACCACTAGTTGGCCATTGCGAGTTCATTCGATCTCGAAATAGTCGTTAAAATCTTCTAAAGCAGATGCGGTCTATATTCATGTACAATAATTCTGTTGCAATAATGACATAACCATAACCACAAAGAATATTAGTTCAAAGATTACGGATGATTGTCGATAAGAAATCATTTCACAAATCTCCGCCTATATGTTGCTTTATGAAATCATGACCTGCAAATGTCGTTGTATATGAGTTCCGTTTTCTTGCGGCATTTGCTTCTTTTTAACCGACTTAAAAAAAGAGAAGGTTTTAAATTCGACTATATGTATGTTTTTTGTACATCTAAACTGCGACTTAAAGACTTGCTTAAGTCGATTTTGCATGGCATTACAATGCTATTCTGGCATATAATTAAGTGCTTCATCTCGGTGTGAATGTTGTGCTCTACTGCGAAACATTACAGTTGGCTACGTGTGATGAAGTAATTGCCAACTTGAGTTACTTTACTTTGCGAAGAGCTAAGTAACTCAAGTTCGCAGTGTAGCGTCGGTAATACACAATTGTCATGCAGTAAACAGTTCCACTGGCGTCTTTTACATAGTGGTATTAATGGTTTTTAGGGTTTATGATTATTTTATTAGTTTTATCGTTAATCTACACTCAAGATGAACTTTAAATGAGAGTTTAATTAATAAATCGTCGAAAAATTTCAGTACTGCCAGTACTCGTCCCTGCATCATCTGGGCGCTTTAGCCAACTAAGGTGACCACCCGATTAGTAACCCGTCTATAAGTATCTACTTGTTTATTTTGCATTGT